ATATATATATATATATATATATATACAAACACTTATATATGTATATTTATGCTTTCAAGATAAAAGTTATCAAATTTTTCTCTCAAAATATAATGAAGCTTAATTTTGATTTTAGATGGACGTAAAGGAGACGTAAATCACAAGGGAGTCCAATTTTACACAAGTCTCATAGAAACGCTTATACACGAGGGTTAATTTCATAACTTTTAAGCATTCAGCGTATTTTACTCATAACATGGTTTTGGGAATTCTTGTTCTGACTAGTTTGGTTTCCTTTGATAATTTGTTTTTATTTGAATTTTGTTTATTGATAAGTAGGCATCGAACCAATAGTGACTATATTCCACTGGGATTTGCCTCAAGCCCTAGAAGATGAATATGGTGGATTCTTGAGCCCGAAGTTTGTGTAAGCCATCATTTATGCATCTTTGGATCGATATTTATATTTTATGTATGGATCAAGACAGTGCCAAGGAAATTATCATTATGCTAATTGTTTTATCTTATTTTTTATTAATTTGTAGGGATGATTATCTCGATTATGCGGATTTTTGCTTCAAAACATTCGGCCATAAAGTGAAAAAGTGGATTACCTTTAATGAGCCAATTATTTTTACTACCAATGGGTATGAATTTGGTACATTCGCACCTGGTCGATGTTCTCGTTATTATGGAAATTGCATTAGTAGGAACTCCGGAACAGAACCTTACATTGTGATTCACCAGTTAATTCTTGCTCATGCGAAAGCTGTAGACTCGTATAGGAAGAACTACCTGGTCAGTAATTATCTTTATGTATTGATATAAGTTATGTATATATGTATATATATGTGCGTGTCATATAATTGAAACCGAACGTATTTGTTTCAAACAAATAAATATTGTTTAAAGAAGAGATTATAATATATACGGAAATAATAACGAGCGTGTGTATATATAATATTAGAAAATGACAATTTAATGTAAGCTTCTTGTGTATCCCTTTCAGGAGAGTCAAAAGGGAATCATAGGGATAACAATACAATCTTTGTGGGCCGTACCAAAGTTTCATACACCTGAATGTTACCTGGCTGCCTATAGAGCCCTAGAGTTTGGTTTTGGATGGTGAGATGTCTAACACGTACAAATGGTTAAGATTTCTAATGACTTCTTGTGTCCCTTCATTTTTGTCACCTTTCGTATCTTTTTAATAATATCATGACAGGTTACTTAAAATGTCATGTCGATTAAAATATCATATCACATCAATTAAGAAATCATATTATCAATTAGAATAATATGTTAATTGATGCATCATGTTATTATTGGAGGACACAAAAAGTGACAAGAAAAGGGGACATATCTAAAAATATACTACACTACTGATCAAGTGGTTGTTGTTAATGACTATATATATATATATATATATATA